TTTGTAATTAGTAAATGATTTTATTCCAATAATATGATAACAAAAGTAGACAAACAAATATAATAATAAGTATCAAAACTCACAGTGAGATGCAAAAGTCTTCAATCAAACACATCCTAAATTTTTGGTCTCAGAAAACCTATTGCTATTGAATTTTTGTTATATTAATATTATCTCTAGTTAATTTTTTATTTTTTCGTATTATGCAAATTGCAAATCAATAGTTATGCTGTGCAACCGTGTGCATCATGCATGGTGCACACGGTTGTAAAACGACGTCGTTTTGACTAAAAACGGTCGTCCCATTTTAAAAAAAAAAAAAAAAAAATCAGTTCGATTCTCCTCAACAGCATTATTGTGGATATATAGTTATGAATTTATGTATATTTAGTTCATTCATCCTGGATTTTGTGTTATTCATTCACTGTGGATATATAGATATGAATTTGTGGATATATAGTTATGAATGTGTGGATATATAATTCAAATTATTCAAAAAAAAATGCTATTGCCGGGAATCGAACTTGAATTTTTTTTAAAAAGTGGGACACGCGTTTTTACATTTTAGTCAAAACGACGTCGTTTTTGTAACCGTGTGCACAGCATAATTTGCGATTGCCAAGTTGTTTTGTTCGATGTACGCAAGTGGTGATTGATCAAATTAAAAGTTTACTTTGACTCCACAAAAAGAACTTTCCGGCTATTGCTTGCTTGTTTTTCATACAAGAGGGGACCTATTGGAGAGACACAAATCTAAAAAGAGATTTGATCCAATAATGATTACACAAGTAAATCCAACATAAATATAAGATGGTTTCGTACGGAACGCCAAAGTCCAACATTAATACTAACTTTAATCTAAAGCATTCTTTAACCTGAACCCATGATATTCTGATGGTAACCTCAATTATATCTTTTCATATTAAAATGCATATCAAATCTCTCTCAATCTTAACATTTGTACTTTTCCCATTTTGTCACCAATGGGATGCCCTATTTACTTTTTATGAAGTTTTGTTTGCTTAATTAGCATTAGTGGAATATTATATTTTATTTGTAGAATTTTTTATTTGTAATCTTTTAAATACTATGATTAGAGAGTCTTTCACTTCAATATATACGAGTAAGGACATCTCGTAGTACTTGTTTTCTTTAAGATGTTTAAAAGAAATCAAGGTTGCGTTTGGTTTAAACATTGAAATCGGAATAGTAATGAAAACCAAATATATATATATATATATATATATATATATATATATATATGTGTGTGTGTGTGTGTGTGTGTGTGTGTGTGTGTGTGTGTGTGTGTGTGTGTGTGTGCAGGGACGGAGCTAAAGGGGGGGCAGCTGCCCCCCTCACCCACTCCCACCCCATATATAGGCTTTGTATGTATATATGTATATATAGTACATGTTTTATTATTAGTATAAAAAAATTATTAAATGTTAACAAAAAGTGAGTTGGAGTAGTTGGTAAAGCAAATGTTTTGTAATAGTATAGGTTAAGGGTTCAAATCCTAGCAACAATACAATTTTTTTATACTTTTTTAATATTTAATACAAACACACACACACATACATATATATATATATATATATATATATATATATATATATATATATATATATATTATAACATTCTTTTATATTAATAATGAGATGTGTAATTTATAATGTGTTTTCTATTCAAATTATTTTATAAAGTTTTGATATGTTTTATTTTACGTCCATATCCAACAATATTTACAACTATATTTCTTATGTAATTTATTTATTTATTTTTAAACTATCTCTTTTGTTTTAATGTTTCACATTTACTGGAAAAATTTTCTAAATCCGTCTGTACTTAGCTTTTTCGCTCCCCTCAACCAAATTTCTGGCTCCGTCCCTATATGTGTGTGTGTTAAAGTTCCATATTTAATGCATGGACAATGACTTATATTTCTTTTCCTCATTTTTATTCTATTTTTCAAAAGTATAGGAGAAAAATGGTATAATCTCTGCTCAAAGGATTCAAAGTGTAGTTTGTTGAGAAAGAGGAAAGGAAAACTTTATCATTTTCATATTTTCTTTATGTTATCCAAATTAAATACTTGAGAATTAATATAATATAGATAGATTCTCTGATAAACATCTTAAGATATCATATGATCTAGTTTTTGTTCCCTCACTTTTCATTTTCATAGTATGTATTGCTAAAATTTTTCTAACATAGTTTTTAAATTTTGAGTAACAAGGCCGGGAAACCCGCAGTCACTATTTGAGAATGTGAACTGATGGGTATCATAAACCCTATCCCGGTGTAATAGCCCGCAAACCACACATGAGAGTTAAACCGTATTAAAAAAATCTTGTGCATGTGACAAGCTTAATTGAGAAGGTATTGTCAAAAATGAAACTTGTGATCTTCTAGTACGAGAATCATGCTTTATCACTCGCCCACCCCTTTTCCCTTTTGATAACATAGTTTTTGAAATAAGGATGGTCCAAGTGTTGCATGCACCGATACCATAACAAAGCTTCTGGCATCCAGATGAACTTATCCCAAAAAGTTAAACCAATCCAAATGGTCAATTGGGTTAGACCAAAAAAAAAAATGCACCGAAAAAAAAGGAAATGGGCAGATACAATGACTAGGCAGGGAGAAAATTAAAATGGGAAGAATATATATAGTAATAAAAAGGGAAGATTATACTTATCTCAAGTGCTTACTTTAAAGATGTGGTGATGTTAAACTATCTAAAAACTATGTGTAAAGATGGATTAGTTTAATGACATTATTGGTAAAGATAGCATCTAAACATCAGCTTCCCCTTTCACCTGTCGGCCACTTGCTTCACCTTCATAAACCCCTCTTCACTCACTGCCACGCACCCTTTTGCACTTCCCATTTTTTATTTCCACATTTTCTCTATTTAATTAATTAATTTGTTCCCAAAAGGTTAAATCCTCAACCTAAAAATCAGTCAGAGCATCTGGTTAGATGTAAATCATAGTAACTCAGCTGAATATGGGGAGCTTTTACATTGTCACTGTTAAGACTCAATCTCGGATTATTGTTTTCAAGCTTCACATTATAACCAACTGAGGTGTACAATTTAGAAAAGTAAATATTGTTTGATGCAAATTTAAAAAGGAAAGTAAGATAAATAAAGTGAGACGAAAGAAATGTCATATTGAATATATAATTTTATATGATATCTCTGTAAACAGTCATTTTGCACCCATTCAAATTTATTTGAAGATTATTCTCACCACACTTAGTGTAATTAGTGATAATGGCGATGCCGGCCCATAACTTTTATTATTTTGGCTATTCGTGATCTTATAATATTTTGAACTAATTAAATAAATGCAATATGCTAATTTTAAAAAGAATGACTAAATACTACTAATGCATGTATTATATATACATGTCAAATGCAATAATCAATCTAACCTCATAACGGAAATAATGAGATCAAGTCTATTCCAACCGTAGTTGATATCTTCATTGTAGGATTACCTCAATAACATCAATGGGTTAAACATTTTTTGTTTGTCACTTAATCTCATATGCAAGTAGCTAGATGATGTACTACCCGTGTTTTCTAAAAAAAAAAAAAAGAAAAAAAAAAAAGAAGAAGATGGTGTACTATGTACTATATCAAGAACGATGGTGGATCGTACTTAAATAACATAATGTAATCATTATAAGCTATTGTAACAGAAATTGTTACAATAAACGATAGAATAAATTTGGTACATTTCTAGTCGCTCGGAAAAAAGAATCCTACATACCCTAGACGTGATTTATATAATTTCCTTGATATTATTGAATTATATTATCATTGACTTAAATTTTCATAAGTTAAAGATTGTATCAAACACAAGAATAATTTTCCCACGTTTTAATTTTATTGAAAAGCTTGAACTTTCTTGATTACCAAACACTCTCTAAAGTTTTAGTCTAAATTACTTTGTTAAATTAAGAAATGGCAATATTGAGAGTAAACATAAAATATAGTAGTCCACTAATCGTAGTAACATTTCAATTCAATTCTAACATGTCTTATAAATGACAAAATAAAAAATCAAAATATGCAATAAAAAAGATGTGTATTTTTCCCGGGGCTTAGCATAATGGTTCGGATTTGATGCCACGACTGAAAGTGTCATTGTGGGGTTTCAAATCCCACTGAAAACATGAATGAGAAAAATGTAAGAATGATGGAAGGTGTGGATTTGATCCCTTGTACACGCATGCATGAAGTCTGACCAGTGAACTGATTGCACCACTTAAGTATTAAAAAAAGATGTGTATTTGTTTTGAACCCTAAATTATTACTAATATAATCTAATAAAAAAGTTACAATCATCAAAACAATTACAATTAATTAAACTAATTTTGTAAAATCTTAAAGGATATGCATAAACATAGTAGCAGCATTATTGATTAAATAATACTTATATTAGAATTTGGAATTTAACATACATACAAGTGATATAACATTACTCACGTTTGTACTTTGAGCCAATAATTAAAGATGGCTAACAGTGATGTGCAATATGGTAGCAGATGGCATATTTATGAGATGGACAAACAACCCAAGTGATGAAGACATAACATTGAGGCCAGGTGTGAACACATAACACAAATACATGTATTAAGGAACAACTCAAGTTGTCATATACCTTTCCTGGTACTGTCAACACCTGGAAATTATTATTATTATTATTATATTATTTAATATTTAGGTGATCCCAGTTTCCTCAGATTAATCTTAAGCCCACAGGAAACTGTTCTTAAAACCACTGCAGAGATAAATTATGAGTCACATAATCAGTCCACCAGTCAGACCCTAACCCTAGTCTTCATGATCCACACACTGCTACCTTCAGTTGTGCAGTGACATCAAGTCAGGCGACGAACCACTACGCTAAGTCCTGGGGTTTGGGAATTAATTTTTATAACATAAAGCTAGCTTATAATATATATTACCCCCCACCCCCACTCCCTTTACCCCACTCTTTCTTTCTTTCTATCATATCACTAGTATCCAAAGCAGTGCTTTCATATGCAGCAAGTCAATAAGCCTCTCCCCTTTCATCAAACAACTTGTTCAAACTAGTTTGCACAGCAAAAAGGAAACCAAAACAGATTCTTCATATCTCTGTCTTCCCAAGAGATGCCAGAGGGTGGTGCTGTGGTCGTTGTTGAAGATATATCGTCGCAAAACTCGAACGATGGAGATGACAATGAAGAACATGATATGAAGCCATCTTGTGATGATGATGGTTCCCCAGAGCTGAACCTTCTTGATTCATTGGAGACCACTGGGGGATCATCAGAGGATAATAATCAGAGCCCAAGAGTCTTCTCCTGCAACTATTGCCAAAGAAAATTCTATAGCTCCCAGGCACTTGGTGGCCACCAGAATGCCCACAAGAGGGAGAGGACTCTAGCCAAGAAGGGGCAGAGATTAGGGCCATACTTCATGGCTGCAGCCATGGCTTTTGGCCACTCCTCCACCCATCATCACCACTATTCCACCATGGCTTCTAGATCTCTCCCTCTCCACAACCCTCTTGGAATTCACCCACACTCCATGATTCTTAAGCCCTCTACTATCCATTCTCTACACGAAAGGCGGTCATCGAGGCCAATTATCAGCCAACAGCCAGCAGTGGGGAAGCTCTCTGCGCCAGCAAACTTCCATATTAGCCCACCAACAAACATAGAAAGATCATCATCAACAACACTTCTTTCCCCTCAAGAAAGCGCAACTGGTGGCGGGTTTTGGGCAGCTAGTTCATCAAGCAATCATTTGAAGAATAATAGTAGAGGAGACTTGCCAAATCTTGACTTGTCTCTTAGACTCTAAGTTCTTCATCCCTTAGCAAAATATAATCCCCCTTTATAAGTTTTCCCCCCTATTGTTGCTTCATCCATCAATCTGAACTGTTAAATATTTTGTCATATTTTTCTTGATATTACTTACTATATATCTTTGGTTACAGAAGAAAAGAGAAGAAATTGTCCTCCTAGATTTGCCAAACCTAGCTACATCTTCCTCCATAGATTGTTAGTTGATAAAAAAATGGTGAAAGTAGAATAAGAACATGTCTATATGTATATAATATACTTCTCTATTTGCAGTACTATGGCTGCTCACCTACTTAGGCATCCCAAAGTTTAAGTTCCATTAAGAAAAAAACTAAAGCACACACACATATGTAACATTATTTCTGTTTTTCTGCCTGTACATTAATTATATTCTCAAGAGTCTAATATTAATGCACCTATCTCAATTGAATCAAGAAAATAGCCTTGGTGGTGCCCAGGGTAACTCAGTTGGTTCCTAGATGGTAGATTGTGGGTAAGGGCGCAGGATCAAACCCTGTCAGTAGCAGTATGGGAGTTACACCCAATACGGTGGACTCCTAGCTTGTGGGCACAAGGCGACAGGTGTGATTTACTCCATCCACAAATCTTGTCGAGCCGGAGTGTGGGGCTAGGGTCAAGAATTTTGCCTTTGTGGGGCAAGAAAATAGCCATGGTTGTGCCTGCACAGGTAGCTCAGATGAGTTGGTTTCTGGGTGACAGATTATGGGCAAAGATGCAGGATTGAACCCAACCAGCCACAACTTGAGAGTCACAGTACACCATATGTGGTGAGCACCTTGTGGACGACGGACACTGTCCTTCCACAAATTAGGCTGTCCTTCCACAAATTAGGCTGTCGTTGTGAAGAATTTTGCCTTTTGTGGGCAAGAAAATAGCCATAGCATCATATTCCAAAAGCCCAAACTGGAAACCACTAATTCAAATAAAATATAATAAATTATTATCTGCATAGAGAGAGAGAGAGAGGGGGGGGGGGATCGGATCTGAATACTAAAACAGTTTTGTGTGACAAAGTCGTATTTAGAACTAACCCTGCAACTGCAAAATCAACACAAAGTCAAATAGAGCTTGTAATGGGCCCCTGAGAGTTTCCCTATCCACATCAACCCTCATGCAGAAAGACAAAAGGACCAGATTTTCAGCTGATTCTGATCTATCATTAAAGAAGTTTCTAGGTTTTGTCAAATGAAACAACAACATCTCAAGACAATTATTGGGTCGTGTTCTGGTTGCTTCCACCATTGATCAACATAATGAAAAAACTCATAATCTGATCTGACTCAGAGAAATGCAAGCTAAGAGTCAGCTTGCAATTATATAAACCATCCAAATTGTGCACATGGTTTAAATAACATTTCAACTGTTGTTTTAGTTACAGAAAGAGACTGCCATTTTGTCCGCATATATGGACAAGTTTTCAAACAGTACTGCCCTGTTGAAGAGATTGTTTATTAATGATAATCTTTGTCATCTTTCATAAGCATATATGTACGATGTAACGTTAATTAGTGATTGCTGGATCTTGAGAGATTTTGTTGTGCTGTGAAATTTTTATTTAATGCTCCTCACACAATTTTTTATTAGTTGCTTACTAAGCAGGCATTCACATTTGATAGCACGCACTTCACCCAACCCTAGGGGTGAGAAAAAACCGGACCGACAGAAAAACGAACCGTCTGAATATTTAAGTTTCGGTTATATGTTAAGGTAAAAGAAAAAACTGGTTATTTCGGTTTGTCGATATCGATTTTTTAAGAAGAAATCGAAATAAAATTAATAAAAAAATGGAAGATTAATTTAAAGAAAAAAATAAATCTAACCCCATCCCATTTACATTTTACAAGTTGATAGTCTATCACATTAATTTTAATTACTTATTGGATTGCACGGTATTTGTTAGTCATATAATGTATATCTCACTAAATTACTATTGTACTTGAGGACATTAATTTTAATTGATTATAAATATTAAGATATTATTTTTTTCCTTTAATAATTTAGTCTTTTACCATTAGTCAAATAAATAAAATAAATTAAGCTATTTTACTAAAAAAAAAAATAGTTATATTTAACCGACCGAAACCGACCAAATACTGTCGGTTTCGGTTATATTGGGTAGGAAGGTTGGTCGGTCGGTTTTCGATCGGTTATGAAAATTTGGTTAAAATTTTGGTTATTAATCAAAAATTGGTCGAAACCGACCGATGTTCAACCCTGCTCAACCCTTGCCTGACTTGATGGTGTTGCCTCTTCTCCCTTCTCTTCTTGCAAGTGCTTTACTTCCTGGATACATGTGTTGTACTGTTTTACTCTACTTTGTGTAATGAAATCTGATTTGTTAGGTGTGCTTTACTGCTTTACTGTGTATTAATATTGAAATCTGATTTGATTTGCAGAAAATATAATATTAAATAGTGAGTTCATTCTTAAGTTAAAACATGGAGGATTTTTTAGAAAAAGGTGAAAACTCTAAGTATTTGGGAGGAGCAACTAAAATGTTCAATAACATGGAAGTAGATGAATGGGGATTGATAACACTTCTTGATAAAATGAAAGAATTGGGATATATATGTGTAGACATTGTTAAGTTTTTTATGTAAACTTTTGGGGGGTTTAGTGGAGTTAGTGGCAGAAAGGGGTAGCTTGGAATACATTTAATGAGCTGGGCTTGTTTGATGTGGTTGAGGTTTGGGCAGTTGGTGGTGAATTGAATGAGTCGTTTGGAGAAGAAGACAGTAGTTATAAAGGGGGAATAGATGAAAATGAATGTGAAGGGGAAGATGATTTAAATTATGACATTAACATAGATCCAAGTGTAGAGTATTGTGGTACTAAAAATCAGGAGGCAGCAGCCAATATTCCAAAAAAGCAAACTAATCTTAATTTGGAAATTACTTACTCTGATGAGGATAGTGCAAGGGATATCAATTCAGATAATGAGGGCAAATTATGCTGTGCAACCGTGTGCACCATATGTTCATAATTACTGAACTATATGTTCATAATTATAAAGCTATATATTCATAATTTTTGAATATCATATTCATAATTATTGAACTCTATATTCACAATTACAGAACTCTATGTTCATAATTTTCGATGTTCATATTCCCAATTGTTGAACTTGTATTCACAAATCACAGAACTATATGTTCATAATTTGATAACTATATAGTTTAGAAAGAGGAAATTTCAATTTTGGTCATATGACTATAGGGGTTTTGTTAATTTTAGTCCCTGACTTTTAAAAGTGTCAATTTAGTACCTTAACTATGCAATTTTTGTCAATTTTGGTCACTCCGGCAAAATTATTGGCCAAATTTCATCGGAAAATTTTAATAATTAAAATAATGAGGATATTTTGATCGTATCACGTCTCTTTTCTTCTTCTCCGTCGAGTCCATCCCTTTCTCTCCCGTTTCCGGCGTTCTTTCTCCCTGTAAACCCTATCTTTAATATCATCAAGCCTCTTTTTCCCATCATCTTAGTTCATTGCATTCACCAGAAACAGGAAAGGAAGGGATGGACTCGCCTGGGAAGAAGAAAAGAGACATGAAATGATCAAAATACCCTCATTATTTTAACAATTAAAATTTTCCGGCAGAATTTGACCGGCGATTTGGCCGGAGTGACCAAAATTGACAAAAATTGCATAGTTAAGGTACTAAATTGACAGTTTTAAAAGTCAGGGACTAAAATTAATAAGACCCCTATAGTCATATGACCAAAATTGAAATTTCCTCGTTTAGAAATTATGAATCTACAATACAGAAATTATGAATCTACAGTACAGATATTATGAATTTGTAGTATAGAAATTATGAATCTACTGTATTTAAATTATGAATCTACGGTTTAGAAATTATGAATCTACAGTATAGAAATTATGAATCTACAGTATAGAAATTATGAATCTATAGTATAGAAATTATAAATTGGAACCGTGTGCACCTTGCATGGTGCACACGGTTGCACAGCATAACGTTCCGATAATGAGAGGCCAAAACTACCCCAATTTAGGCCTCATAGTGAGATGAAGTCACTAAAATTCTGTATTGGATTAACTTTAAGTCAAAGGAGCAATATAATTTAAAAAAGCTGCATGTAAAAATTCATTGTACTTTATGCAAGAAAGAAGGCAGTAATCGTAGAAAGTGTGCATTGAATCCAACAATGAACAACAGACAAAATGATGACGAATCCATGCAACGGTTGTACCAGCTAGTGTAAACACGTAGCCACTCGTAGACTTAGAGTCCTTAATGTCTTATATCCAGTTTGCGTCAATATACCCTTCAAGTACAGCAGGATATCTCTCATAGTGCAGTCCAAAGTCACGAGTATACCTCAAGTATCTCATAACCTTTACTATTGCCTTCCAGTGCATAGCACTGGGTTACTCGTATATATATCTACTGAGTTTACTAAACGCAAAGGTAATATCCGGCCTAGTACAACTCATAAGATACATCAAACTACCAATAACCCGAGCATATTCTACTTGAGAAAATACACTCTTCGTGGTTCTTGGTTAGATGAACGTTTGTATCAAACGGTGTCATAGTCGCTTGATCATCATCCTTGTTAAATTTTGCAAGGATTTTATCAATATAATGTGATTGGCTCAACACAAGACCATCGGGTCTTCTAATGATTTTAATCTCGAGGATTAAATAAGCCAAACTCATATCCTTCATGTCAAATTTCGCATTTAACATGTTTTTGGTAGATATGATCATCTGATTGTTACTACCAACGATGAGTATATCATCTACGTATAAACAAAGAATGACATACCCGTCTATCGTTTCCTTAACGTAGACACATTTGTCACTTTCGTTTATTTTAAACTCATTGGTTAACATCGTGTGGTCAAACTTCTTGTGCCATTGCTTAGGCGCTTGTTTTAAACCATATAGCGATTTAACTAACCTACACACTTTCTTTTCTTGGCCCGGAACCACGAATCCTTTAGGTTGTTCCATATAGATTTCTTAATCTAACTCGCCATTTAAGAAAGCGATTTCCACATCCATTATTTGATGAACTTCCGAATTTCGCAATGCGGCTATGGCAAGTATCATCCTAATGGAATTTATTCTCGTCACGGGAGAATACGTGTCGAAGTAATCAAGGCCCTCGTGTTGCCTGTAACCCTTAATTACAAGCCTAGCCTTATACTTCTCGATGGAACCATCCAGTTTCACCTTCCTTTTAAAGACCCATTTGGATCCTAAGGGTTTACTACCCGGAGGAAGATCAACAAGTTCC